ACACGTCACAAGTACAATCTTCGATGTGGGAGACCCTCCTCGACATCATACCTCATGTTGTATGTCGGTGACGCTGTGGTATTTAGGCATCCGGTGATGACTCACCTCGACATTGATCACCATGCAAGAGGATAAACTTTGACTTTGAAGATAGAGATCATTGCCAAAAGCAAACACGCCCATGATCAAGATAAAGCAACCTCTGAGTATTACGGTTTAGGGGCGGGATTGACTCTCAGTTATTAGCCCCTTCTCCAAAGCAATCAGAATAATCAGAAAAGTAATTCAATGACCAATGATAGAGATGTTCGGTATACAGAATAATTAATTGCTACCCCTCAAAGGGGAGATTGATGAAAATACCCCCGTGCATGCACGACCATGCACATGATGCATTCGACAAAAGTAGGAGATATATTCACTACTCGGCGGGGATGAGAAGGGTATATTAAGTGCTCGAGGTCCCGAGCACAAACTTGCGAAAACACCTGGTGCCGAGAAAAACAGACACTCTGATTGAGACCTATGCACCAAATGTTGTCCTTTGTACGAACCAACTAGGAGCTTTCCCTCCAAAGGGACCTTATTGCCTGCCTCAGTCAACCCCTGGAAGGTATAAATAGCACACTCAAGCTCAAAGCAAAGGTATGCAACCCCTTGTCTAAGCAATACAACAGTGTTCTTAAATTCTCTCTTGAATATTGACTTGAGCGTTGTAGGGGTCACGTTGAAGAACACTCTGATGCCTTTCTAACTCTTCTTTCTTTAGTGACAAGTCACTATTAAGGGCTTTTCATGAGTTGATCGTTTACAGAGGAGGGATCCATATTGTTCACTAGCTACCGTCCTTAAAGTCCCGTTCGCAGCTCTATAGTTATTCACTGTGGGAAGCATAGGAAGGGTTTCACTTAGGTGACGTTTCAGGGAGGCGCGAGCTAGTCAAGGGAGAGATCTATCATCTCATTTATTGTGCATAAATCACCCCCACACAGTCACCGTAGTGAGTGTTTAAGGAATATTAATAGAGGAATATGAGTGACTGAATCCAATAATTCATTTCAAGGTCGTGTGATTACGTTTGTTGCAAATTTTACAACCAAACACTTCATCTTTTTGGTCAATTTTAAATGGAGACTGATGGCAGGTTGCTTTTTGGTGGGGGAGTTGAGGCAGCTGTGTGCAAGGGTGGAACTAGGATTTTTGTTTATCCCGGGCTAAGCTAAGCATTCATAAATTAGGAGAAATATATACTCTGAGACGAGAAATATATTAGGAGTCCGGAATCTTGCCCTAAGAAGGTTTAACACACTTTTAGTTGATATGATCAAGCATTTTCTGTAAGCAGACTAAACTTTCAAGTACATCAACTCTTTTGGCCGGAAAAAATCAACACAGAGACCTCATTGACCATATCAGAATATTATCTTGGTACAGTCTTTATCGTTGAAACATGTCAACTGAAGGATCAGCCAGCATCATGACAAAATAGTAGAATAAGAGCATTATTCATGATCCATTTTTTGCCATAAAAGTTAGAATGCAAGTATGATCGATGTAAGCAAAGTATAACAGAACTAATCTAGCCATATTAGTAAAAGTATATAGAGAAATAAGACTTAACAGGTTCAGAACCATGCTGATACAGCAACAAATTTGATGAATAACAATAACACAATGTTGCTTATTATTCTCCTATTCCTCAATAAAATATTGCAATGGATCAGCTTCATCAATAGCAGTTAGGTGATGCACTAAAACCATTTCCACATGCAATCACAGCTAAAACATAGGCAATCAATATGCGTTCCTATTTTCTACAATCTCATATACATTTCTTGAATTCTCAAAAATTAATTAAAAGAATGATGACCTCAAATGCATCAGTGCATGCATTATCACTTCCAAACCTCTAAATGGACATCAAGTGGTAAACACATTCTAGCTCATTTTTATCGATCATGATTTAAACTCTAAAGTCCACAAAAGATTTTCAGTTGGAAAAGAGGTCAAGAGGCCAAACAGATGTGTATGTGATTCGGGGCATTTGATCGAACAGTTTGTGGGCGTTTGAACAAAGAGCAAAACCAATGTCAAGTACAGAGAGATCCGACAAAAATATCTCACTATTAGTGCTAATTTTATTGAGTTTTCCATTTTAAAATTCAAAAGTTAATAAATTCAGCAACCAAGACTACCCATTAAAACAATCAAGTGGTTTAGCAGACCAACATTGTAAGCTTTCCGAGTCCAACCGTGTCCGTATGCCGACCACTCTCTCTCTCTCCCTCTCTCAATATTCTATTCTGCTAACATGCTTTGACTCTTCACAACTCTTATAAAGAGAGGCTTCCCAGCAATCCCCAGCCCGAGGAACCCCATTCTTCTTTCCTGTTCAAATCCCAGAATCTCACTCCTCCACCATATCTACCACCATCAGCACCACAAGCCAAAACAACAAGACAAACAAAAACATTTATACCCAGAAACCCAAAAGAGATTAAACATAACCCATCTTTTTCACTGCTCAAGAAACAAACAAATGAGAAAAACCAGAGGCTTCAGGCATGGACGCAAAGTCGTAAAGGTATGCAACTGGTTCGTCCACAGAAGAACAAAACCCAGAAGCCATGCCTCTGGGTTGGGTTGGGCTGGGTTGGCTCTAATAAAAAAATTTATTTATTTTTTTATCCTGGGCTTCAACCCACTACAGCCCACCAATAGCTCCGTCCCTGGCTGTGTGAGACTGTTGTCCAGAAGAATGGCCTTATGCAAAGCCGCGACCTTTGGACGTGAAGTGTGCTGGTGCTCTATTTGTGGGTTTTCCACCGTGGTTCTTCTTGAACTTGTTGGATTGATGGTTGAAGTGCTGACCATAGAAGGCCATTTGCGGAGCTGGAGGAACATCAAGATTGTGCCATTCGACATAACTCTCCACAAGTGTAACAACCTCATAATATGGTCGAACTAGAGATCAAAGCATCACAGCAGTGAAGCTCTCATATTCTTTGTCGAGTCCATTAAGACGCCACAACAACTTCTTGGGATCTTGAACGGGCTTGCCAATAGCACCAAGATCATCACAAACTGACTAAAACGACACAAATAAGCAGTCAAAGTGTAGATCCCTCGAGTTATGGAAGTGAGACATTGCTTGACTGTAAGATTACGATTAGAGGAAACTTGAGCAAAGGCATGTACCATGGTATTCCAGACCTCAACAAGAGTGTTGAGTCCAACAACAGTGCAAAGGACTTCTTCAGAGAGTGGCAATGAGCAATTCTTTAACTAGACAGTCCAATTTGCACCACTGAAAAAATGCTGGATTGCAATCAAAAACAGAAAGCGAATGCAGGATTCGGCTAATCACCATTCAGAAGAAATTATGTTCGTGGTTTGGTTTCATCGTTGGAAAATTCATGACGATCATAACTCTCAAGGATATTAAGCATTTAGGTTTTCTACAAACAAAAATTTATGTAAGAGTCAAAGTGACATGAAATTAGCGACATTCTGTGTCATGGAAAAGGGATAATTTGAAGCCTGAGTTAAAGAAGGTGAAGAACTAGAACTGGTTGGCATGGGGATTGCAGAAAAAAAATATCTGAAGAAAAGAAAAGAAACTTTTTTATGTCAGCAGGGGCTCTAATACTACAAGATTTTGGAGGAAGAACTATAATGGGTACATACAATGAAACTAGGAGATAAAAAGGTAAGAGGAATATACGATAAAACTATCCATCCACCAAGCTACAAGTGGTGGAGTTTGAATTTTTGAATCTGTGTTATCAGCATGTCGAGAATTTTGGCACGTGGTTGGAACAAAATAAGTGTGTTTGAACGAGGCAAATGTATGGCCATTGAAAACTTTTAGTCATGTTTGGTAATATATTCAGAGACTATGGTTTATGTGGTTTAGGAGTTTCATTTTGTTTGCAAGTCAATTAGGAATTTAGTTCATTTCATTTCTTAATTTAAGGGTTAGTAGCACTTTTGTCCTGCAAATATGTATTTTTTTTACAATTTAGTCTTCATTTTATCAATTTAGTCCCTAAAATATTTAATCTGTGTCACTTTAGACCGTAATCAGACAATCTGTTAAGTTTTTTGACGGAAGTGACCACGTGTTATTTTTTTAGATGTTATCACATATCTAACACGTGATCATTCTATTAAAAACTTAACGGTTCATCTATATAGGGAACAAAATGACATGAATTATATACTTTAGGGACCAAATTTATAAAATTAATACAATGAGGACTAAACTGAAAAAAAAAATACTTTAAGAACCAAAAGTGCTATTAACCCTTAATTTAATTAGGATTCCACTACCTATATTAATTTCGAATTTGATTAGGATTCAAGTTTATTTTGTTTCCTATTTAAAAGGGTTTTGCTATTACAAATTGATGATGCACAAAAGTGGACTATGCAAAATCAACAGTTGAGTGTGTGATAAAGTGTAATTAATAGACAATTAATAGAGTAATCAATGACAATAATATAAATATCGAGTTTTATAGTTCTTGCCTCGCTATTGCATAGGAACTCATGTTCCAGAATCTCGCAAGCTTGCTTCACTAGCTTGGCTCTAGTAATTCTGGAAAAAATGACTCTTGAAATTCCTTTTGGAATTTTCGAGAATGCCTTGGCATCTTTCTATCTTTTCTGTTTCAAGTTTCTGATTTTTAACTTCTATAAGTTGATTTTCATCAGCTTGTTCGTTAATGAGGCACCTCCAAGGATTGGAATGTTAAGAGTACGAAAGTGAAGCACTGTCACCAGTAGAGGATGGCATCTTCTAAATTGCAGGTTGCTGTCCTCTTGCTGATTGAAACGCTCAGATATGATCGGTATAGCAGGAGAGTGATACCACATTTGTTGGAGACAAGATACAATAAAAGGCTATTAAAATTTGATTAAGAAGAGTAGAGTGTTATATTAGAGTTGCCAGTGCAAAGATCAAGAATTCTAGAGAAATTTTTTTTTTCTCTTCAAGGCAGAAATACTCATTGGACAACTGTAAAATGAACCTTCCTACAGAACTGAGTAACCATAAATGTCCAAGGATACTTAACTTTAAACAAGCTTGACTGTTACATTTATTTTCTGATACAATGTATTTGACTCAAGACACTTAAAATGGGAAATGGACTTTTTGATTCTGTAGAACCCATCACCACAGTCATAATCATCTTCTAGTCCCAACTGTGGTTTTCTGTGACTCAACAATCTGAACTTCTTGGGGCAAGAGAGAATAGTTTATGTTCAGGTCTTCAAAAATTTGCTTCATCTTCATAACCAGCTCAGATCTCCGCTTGTTCCTCTCTCCATATTCTTGAAAGTTCATTGTGTGATTAAAATAGAGAGCCATCTTTATCTTGTTCATGTTCTCAATCTCCTTCACCACGACACTGTGAGTTGGATGCCAGTGTTTACGATTACTATCTATGTACCTGACCATGCGGAAAAAAATAAGCAGACAGATAAGGCAAACATCTATGGCTAGCATTTGAATCAAACTGAATTCTGAATACCCAATAAAACCAAGATGCGGAATTACCTTCATCTCTTTCATGGAGTTTTTGAATAAAAAAAAGGCAATATGCCAATCACTTTCTCATTTACCTTTGGTCCTTACAACTAAATGGCATCTGATTCCACGTTTAAAGTCTTAAGACAACCTAATGTCGTAACAAATTTTCCTTAGATGCAACTTATAACAGAAGAGATAAGTTGGCTATTCCTCCTTTCCAAGGCAATGTCCTTTTCCTTGGTCATCATACAATCTATTGGAGGACAGAATATTTCAATTGCAGGATCCTATCTCTATGAAGTTTTCGAAAACATGTCCAACGATAATCATATTATGACACTATGTATATGGATGGAGAATATCTACTACCAGGTAGTGTAGCTAGGCTTCTCAAATATTGGGGTAACTAGAAAGTCTCAGCGACATAAAACAACTTTCAATCCAGAACTTCCTAACTCACATATAGGATCTCAAATAAGAGTGAGAATAAGGCAAAAGATCAGACTTACGCTTTTATTTTATCTTTCAGTCTCCCGATCACTTCCACTTTTGTGTTGAAGTCGATGGAGAACTCGAAGGAATCGCCCATATTGTCTGGGCTTCTGTAGAAATTGCTGATAGGCTTTGTAGCCAAAACCGAGTTTGGATAATATATCTTCTCATTATCATATCTCAAGAATACTGTAGTCAAAATATTCATCTCTTCCACTATCATCTGCCAGGTTACAACTAGTTAATCCAGTGTTGATAAGGTGGACTTGATTATGAATATAACCAGAAGCATTCAATTAGTGGATAATACCTGAACGCCATCAACAACACAACGGTCACCAACATCAAATGGATGCATCACAAACACAAATATGAGAGCTTCAAATACAGTCTTGCAAGCATTCCCAAACATAAAAGCTGCCACCACAAGCTGTGATGAGAGGAAGACTAGCATTTTGGTTGTTACGATTTCCGTCAAAATCAACCACACTATAATCATAATAACAATCAGGATTCCACTGACAAGCCTGTTCAATTCCTCTATAGCTGTTTTGCTATCTTCTAGAACATGGCCTAGTTCTTTGCGACTTTTGTGAACCTTCACCTGCACAGACAGCAAATCTTCAACTGTTGGCCATTGAGCTTTCTCAAATATAGGAAATGGTTTGCGCAAGGGGGAAACCTGTCATATTCTCTTCTCCTTTTTATGAACATTTTCATTCTGAAGAAGAGAAGCCATAGGCAAAGGACTCTAGGTATTGGACTTGACACATCAGAGTTCTCTTCTAATTTGCACAGTTGTCAGGAAGACAATGATCCAGCTAAGTGGCAGCGATGTGTAATGTTTATGGTAACATAAAGTCATCCCATGGCACTTAGTGGAGCACATATAAAGTGCATGATAACTCTAAGCTTTGTGTTTTTATTGTACAATGCATTATATAATCATGCGGACCTAGCCCAAAATTGACAACATTTTAAAACCACAGATTTGGAACGTAGGTGAGTGAGGCCTTCATCTAGGGCTCCAAAAAGCACAAGACTAGATTTACAAACTACAAAAAATAAGTGAAAAAAAGAAGATTTAAAATGTAAGGCCGTATGGTCAAACTTTTCTTTAAACAAATGCAAATTTTCTTTGCATACATATGTGTATATTAATCATATGTATGTCTATCAAAGTAGCTAAAGTTGACTGCAAAATTCAAACACATTTCTTGGCAAGGGGCTGCCAGTTATGTCACACCTTTTGTTAAGGCTTGATCTATTTTTCTGTTACAGGTCTCACATGTCGTAGGGTTTTGTTTTTGTTTCTATAACAGCTTTTTCCTGCCATTTTTCATAACTATACACTGTGAATATCTACTGAAACCATTTCAACAACTACTACCAATTTGTGAACCATAAGTGCATTTCAGCATGAAAACCCAAGTGCAATTTGAAGAGGGATTACAAGACTACTCCTATTCAACAGGGTTGGGGGGGGGGGGGGGG